CTTCCTTCCTTCCTTCCTTCTTTCTTTCTTTCTTTCTTTCTTTCTTTCTTTCTTTCTTTCTTTCTTTCTTTCTTTCTTTCTTTCTTTCTTTCTCTCTCTCTCTCTCTTTCTTTCTTTCTTTCTTTCTTTCTTTCTTTCTTTCTTTCTTTCTTTCTCTCTCTCTTTCTTTCTCTCTTTCTTTCTTTCTTCTTTTTCTTCTCTTTCTTTCATTTGTTTCCTTCCTTCCTTCCTTCCTTCCTTCCTTCCTTCCTTCCTTCCTTCCAGGACAATATAGACACAGAGATGCCCATGGAAGGAAGAGACCTGGGTGGTCTTCACTCATAGCAGTGATGATGGCTAAAAGCACCAAGGTCAAGTTAAAAAACTTTTTTTTTCTTTTCTACTTTTAAAGTTTTGCCTCAAAGTACATTTCTATACTTCAACATCCTTTCAGGGCTTACAATTGAATATTCAAAATATTTGAAATAAAGTGTCTATTTAAAGCTGTCAGCTATCTCAAGAGATATTACTAATAGCACCAAATAATTACTGAAAATTAATTCTTCCATGCAGTTGTAATTTTTAAATACATCAGATATTTATTGCTGGGAGATAAGATTTGCTCTTTTAGTTCTATGATTTTCATTTTCAACACAGCTTTTTTGGGCAATAATTTTTTTTAACCAAACGGAAAAATCTAACACAGTGAAGAAAAAGTCTTAGCAGCTCTTTTCTTTTTAAAAAAAGAGAATACACAATGTCAGTTAAAACAAAAATGTGAATTCTCACTGGTAACTATTAAACTGTTTCAGTTTTTATTTCATGTCAATTGTTTATAGTAAACACTGACAGAGTGAGTTGGAATGTAATATACGGCACTGAAGTTTCATCCCAGTGTACTTCAAGAGGCTTCGAAATCTTAGCCCAGGGCCTTTTGAGCTTCTTGCAGCCTCCTGGAAGAAACACAGCAAAGACAGAAACACAAGCGTTGTGAACTCAAGGAGAAAATTCCCATTAGTGTTAAAGGAACTCCTTCAACGTGGAAAAGTATATTTCTAAGTATGGAAAAACATTTTCAGGTCTTTTGTACGTGGTCCTAGCTTTTTTAATGTGTTTTTTTTCTCTCTCAGCATTTGTCAAATGTATTTGAAGTACATTCAATCCACTTGGGCTGCATTTTGAAAGTGGCTTATGGAAATTTAAGCAGACAGTATCTATTAACATTAGATTAATAAAATTCCAAAGGCAAAATTCCCCCACACTGTGTTAGCTCAAGTATTGACCTTAGTATGAGGTTATATTTTACTAAATATTTAGACTACTCAATCCTTTAAAGAAATTCCAAATACTATTTCAATAACAGAATTTGATTAACCACATAAAATTGAAATCACACAATCATCCGATTTGAAGGCCAGATGCAAAAACATTTTTGTGAAAACTCCCACCAGAATTGATACATATGTTTTTCTCATTGCATTTCTTCTTTTTACAATGGGTGTATAGGCACAGCACTTGTGGTCCAGTGGGACCACGTACATCTCCAGGATAATTACAACCTGGGAAGCTTCACATTCCAGGCAACCCTGCTCATAGATGGACGCATCATCTTCGGATACAAAGAAGTAAGTGATGTATTGATAATTTCTTTCCCTTCCCCTTGTTCTTGACTGCTGCCTTTCCTCCAAGTGTCAAGAAAGGGACATTTTACAGCCATGGTCCTCGAATCATTTTCTTGCCTCTTGGTTTCTTTTGCTTAATAAAAAATGTTTTGGTTAGTTTTAATCTTCTGGGTGCATTGATTGTTAGCTCTTTTGTTTTGTTTTCTGATATTGTTGGCATCAGGACCCATCAGTTTCATAAAATTATTGGGTAATTATATTGAGTAATTATTGAGTAGAGTGAAATGCATCTAAGAAAAAAACATCCAATTTGGAGGAATTTCTCATCTAAATCTAAATGTTTGTATTTATGTATTTTGTTAGTTTTTTTTTTTCACCTTGTTGATTTCTGTGTTATATTTTGGTTCTAATTTCAAAAGCATTTATAGAGACGAAAACTTATGTGGCTCAATGACCCAGTACTGAGATAGTTCCAGGAGAGCTGAGCTTACAATCCCTTTGACTAATGCTTATTGAAACTGGATAGGAAAGATAAATTAGAGATCTAAGTGACAGAAAGAACAAGGGAATTTAAACTTATGGTTTGTTTCATTTTAACAAACTGACAAAGTAAAGAATGAAAATTTACTAAATTGTAGCCTTAAATTTACAAAATATTTAGACTGGAATAACTGTGTGTTTGATTTCCAACTCTTTTGACAAAGTAATTAAGACCTGTTGGACTAAGAATATTAAAAATAAAGTTCCAGGTACTACAAATGTAATGTTTTAGATAGTCTCTAATTATGAGAGAAACCTGAACAGTGAGAATTAATAATGAGTGTTATTAACCCATAGGTTAATGGATATTTATAATAATACAGACTTGATATCTTATGTTCAACTGAGGGATTACTTTTTCCTTGAGAAATGAATCCCAGATTATAAAAGGAATATTGAGGATCAAGAAAGAATTCACTTTGGTCAAATCTTCTGAAATTCATCTATTCTGTAAAGTGTAGCATAATTTAATTACAATCAAATAGGCCAACTCTAAAATTTATGTCAGATTTACATAGCCCTCTTATTTTTTGTCAGATATGTCAGATATTTCTATTACTGTAAAAACTTTTTAATGAAATTTTTCATTTACTTGGGGCAACTGAGTAAGTAGGATATAATTATAGACTATGTCCTACTTGGTGTTTCTTTGTCCAAGTGTATGGTTTTTTTTTTTTTTTCAATTTTTATTTCAGGTTCAGGAGTACATGTGTAGGTTTGTTATACAGGGAAACACATGCCATGGAGGTTTTGTTGTATAGATTATTTTCTCACCTAGGTACTAAGCCTGGGACTTAATAGTTATTTTTCTTTCTTTCTTTTTTTTGAGATGGAGTTTTACTCTTGTTGCCCGGGTTGAAGTGCAATGGCCGGATCTTGGCTCACCACAACCTCTGCCTCCTGGGTACAAGAGATTCTCCTGCCTCAGCCTCCCTTGTAGCTGGGATTACAGGCATGCACCACCATGCCCAGCTAATTTTTGTATTTTTAGTAGAGATGGAGTTTCTCCATGTTGGTCAGGCTGGTCTTGAACTCCGTACCTCAGGTTATCCTCCCACCTTGGCCTCCCAAAGTGCTGAGATTACAGGCGTGAGCCACCGCACCCAGCCGATAGTTATTTTTTCTGATCTGCCTCCTCCCACCTTCCACTGTCAAGTAGGCCCCAGTGTCTGTTGTTCCCTTCTTTGTGCCCATGCGTTCTCATCATTTACCTCCCAATTATAAGTGAGAACATGTGGTATTTGGTTTTCCATTCCTGCAATAGTTTGCTAAGGATAATGGCCTCCAACTCCATCCAGGTCCCTGCAGAAGACGTGATCTCATTTCTTTTATGGCCTCATGGTATTCCATGGTGTGTGTGTACCTGATTTTTTTTATCCAGTTTATCATTGGTGGCCGTTTAGGCTGATTCCATGTCCTTGCTATTATAATTAGTACTGCAATTAACATACACATGCATGTGTCTTTGTGGCAGAATGATTTATTTATTTTTTTAATTAATAGACTTTATTTTTTAAGAGTAGTTTTAGATTCACAGCAAAATGATGCAGAAAATACAGAGAGTTTGAACATACTCTTCTTCCCCTGCTGAACATCCTCCCCCATCATCAATGTACCCCACCAGAGTGGCACATTTGTTGCAATAGATGAACCTACATTGACATTGACGCATCAATGTCACTCAAAGTTCTTAGATTACATTAGAGTTCCCTCTTGATGCTGAACTTTCTAAGGATTTTAAGGATGTATAATGTCATGCATCCATCATTATAGTGTCATACAGCATCCTTCCTTCCCTAAAAATTCTCTTTGCTCTACCCAGTTTTTTGTTTCAATAGGTTTTGGGGAAACAGGTGATGTTTGGTTACATGGGTTTATATTCCTTTGGTTATATACCCAGTAATGGGATTGCTGGCCTGAATGTAGTTTTACTGTTAGGGTTGTGGAGAAAAGGGAATGCTTATACACCGCTGTTGGGAGTGTAAATTAGTTCAGCCATTGGGGAAAGCAGTTCAGCTATTGGCGATTCCTCAAAGAGCGAAAATCAGGGCTATGTTTTTATATCAGAGCCCATCATATTTTTATATCACACTCCCTGGACACCAAGAGAAAAATTCTCAAAAGAACTTATTCATTTCTAGTTTTCATTGCAATCTAGTATATTGCTGGAACTGCACAGTGATGTTTTGAAATGTTTGTTTTCAACGGTTTCAACCAACACTGGTCAAGTTTCTGGAAAGACGCAAGGTCAGTAAGTGTGAGGACTTAGGTTTCACCAACTGGAGGCTTTGTCAAAACAGAAGTGTGTGTTCTTATTGTGGTTTCACTTGCTAGTCTTTATTATCGAAAGTGTCATCTTTCTTTACACTGTTCTCAAAGGGTATCTCACGTTGCAGAATAACAGTTGTTTCTTCCTATTCTCTGGTCTAGGTTGGTATTTTTAAAGGCCTTTTCTTCATTTTAATCAAAGAAAAAAGTTCCGTTATGGTTTTCCTGTTTTGTTATGGGGAATTTCAAGATGACAGGCAAATTTAATGCTTTCTTGATATTCCCAGGCTCTTGTCGTGAAGAATGTCTTCCCTCTGCACTTGGAGTTCAAAGAAGACGTTTTTACTTTATTATTCACTTTACTTTAATTTGCCTTTCAGTTCTTTCTTTGTTCTAGATAGAAAGCAGTTTCTACTTTTCTAGTCTACCACTTTTTTCTTCCCAATAATTGTTATATATTTTATTTTGCTAAGGCAAATTATTATTTGTAAAATTTGTCATAAGAGAGTCCCCTTGCATTTGGGGTGACAGCTAGAAGCTCCTGGTACTGCTAGAAAAATATTCCTAATCACATGATAGCATAAAATAGTAGTTTGTGTAATGTATTATCATTTTCAAAGTACTTTCATATGCATTATAGCGTTTAATTCCTCAACAATTTCCTATAGCTTTAATATCCTAAGCATTTTACAATAGCATTGGTACATTGAAGCTGTTCAATAAATGTTTATGACTTAATTATGGAAATAGATCATACATGATCATCTTCATTTTGTAGCTGAGCAAGCTAAGTCAGAGAGATTAAATGACATACTTGAGGTCACAGAGCTAGTTAAGGATAAATCCAGAATTTAATTTGATGATCCCAAGACATCTCAACCATTTTCCCTGCCTAAAGAGATTATGTAAAACAATTCACAAATCTATGTCTCATTTGTTTTTCCAATAAGTATTTCTTAATATTGGCTGTTTAAGAATCTTGCTTGTTAGACTTTGTCATATCACACAATTACAAGTATAGATAGGAGAGGTATTCCTACTTCATTTGGAGAGCTAACCAAATTCTAAGAACATATAATTACAAGGAGTAGAATGTTCTATTCCTGTCCAAGCTAAACTTACTGAATTATAGATAGGGAAGTAAGTGTAATTCTTTCTGTAATAAGTTTCTTCTAATAGGCTAACACCAGCTTTGTTTTGTTTCATTATGTTTTATGTGAATAAGAAGAAAAATTCTGATTTACAGAAAACCCACCACCAATTTGGGACTTGTTTTAAAATTGTAAATTTTAATTACAATTAAATTTTACTTTAAAAGTAGTAATGGATTGAATGAATTCAGTTAGGTAAATTTCATTTTCAATGCCCTCATTCAATTTATCTCAGTATTTAAATGTGCCAACCATGCTAAGCACGTACATGACCTCCAATCCTTTCATGCTGCAAATATTGCCTTTTCTTCAATAGCATGATTTTTTTTGTAGTGCAAACTAAATGATGAATGATCAATAAATAAGAAAATGCATTTACAGTTGTAACAATCTTGTTTAGAGTGGGATTGAAATAGGGAAGTACGACTGCTGCTTAAAATAAGAATGAATACAGATTTGCTCATAATATTCAATGTTTCTTCACCAATACCCTGTTGTTTTCTAGAATCATATTGGAGAGAAGACTTGTGGAGGCATGGATTCCCTTAAATAATTAAGTTATTTTTCCTGAGGTTGTAGCTCCTGTGTTGTTTAACTAAAGATTCGAAATTCTGTTTTAAGCTATAGGCCCTTATTGTTACACAGCTGTATATTTTAATTAACTTCAAAGATAGAGTTTGCTTAGAATTCAGTCAAAATACAAAAAGAATATTTTTTAAAGTTCTTTTTCTCAAGTTACCAACTGTTCATTATAATGCATTTTTCAATTTTAGAGTATCCAGTTTTTTTAGATAGATTTAATTACCTATGAAATTAACTGTATCATCTGTTTCCTTGACTATATTAATAACAGTTATTGTGACCAATAACTCCAATATCTACACATCTTATGGGTCTGTCTCTATCACCTATTTTCTTTCTATTTCCTGTTGATTTTTATTCATTGGTCATGTTTCTTTGCATGCTAGATGATTTTTTTAAATAAAATATTGGACATGGTTTACAAAGCACCAAAGTACTTTGAGGATGTAGATAATGTTTTCT